GCTTCTGCTGAGTGAGGCTTGAAGAACTCCCAGCGGCATAGGTGCCCGCCATCCTGGAATGCACTTACCGTGCACCCCAGGAACAAAGCGGTTCGAGGAAGCTGGGGATGGGAGACACAAACCACCCTCCCCTGGTTAGTCCTGAGCTCGAACACACACCTTTTAGGTCTCCATTCCCATCCTTATCGCTGTCCTTAAAAGACCTCGGGTAGATCTGGTACATGGGACCTGCCTGCCACCAGTCAAGGCATTTTGGAGAGATGGCGATGATGGCTATGGTGGCTCCAATGAGCAGGAACACAGAAACCACGGTGAGCCAGAAGAGGATTTCCCGGGGCACCCGGTAGCGAGCCTGGCCGGAGAACTGGAACAGCACCTCCTTGGGCATCCCTGCATAGGGCCGCACGGCCTCCTGGTGGGGCTCCTCCGGAGCAGGGAAACTAATGGAGTTGGGCTGTGAGGTGTCCCCGGAGCCTGGGTCTGGGTCCTGCTCCAGGATGTCCTCATTTTGGACAAACCCATTATTCGTCCGGCATCCTTTCATACTCATCTGGATGGAGTCTCTCTTGCTCTTGTCCTCATCCATGTCTGCCCTGTGCAGCTCTTCCTGGTGCTTTCTAGCAGGACAGACGTGGAAAAGTGGCTTGCTGAGTGCTGTGGTTTCTTAATGAGCTCTGAATGGTTTATAAATAATCTGGGCTGGACTTTGTCCAACCAAGGATGAAAGGGTAAAGGTAAAGGGGGTCGGGGTGGTGTAAAAATTATCTTTACACAGGGTGACTGACTCAGCTACAGTAATAACACATGGGGGAGGAGATTGGGGAGAAGAGTAGAGACAGGGTTCCAATCGCTGCAAGATGCTACTTGTGTAAGTACCAACTGCCTGTAGCAATACTATCCATAAAACTATAAAGGGGGGAGATGACCCAGAGAAATGGGCAAACAAAATATGAAATGAATATACAGGAGAATATTATTCAGCCTGAAACAAAGTCTGATACTACACCATGGAAAGAACATTATGCTGAGTGGAAATGACCATATCAGAAGACAAAACAGTGGTTGGGACTTTGGGAGGAATTTGAGAAGTTGTTGGTGAATGGGAATAGAATTGCACCTGGAAATTTTGAAGAGTTTTGGAGATGGACAATGGTGGTTGTACAACGATGCAGATGTCCTGAGCCAGATATTAAAGAAATGGGTATAGTGGCAAATGTTAATTAAGCCTGTTTTACAATGTTGGAAACAACGTTTTCTTTCTTTGGCTAGGTCTAAAAATGATACTAAAACTTAGTAAGGGGAAACTGGCTGTCCTTTCTGTTTGAAGTTTTTCCTACAGATCCACCCAGAAGAGCCTCTGGAGGTAGGGAAGCTCACCAGTTTTTATTTAAGTTCATTTTATCTCAGCTCAGGCTGACTCCAGACAGCCCATGCGTATAAGCTCTGTATGTGTGCTCAGCTCAACCTCGGGTCCTTAGATCTTGATTTCATAAAAGAATGTGGCTTGGCATTCTTGTAAGCACTTCCCAGCAGTGTGGGAGAGGGAGTCTAAGCCTTGCAAGTTCAAGTGTTTTACTACAGCCAAATAGTCCTTCATACTGGCACTAAACAGTTGTTTAATCATTGACAAGTGCAGATCACATTTACAAGTCCTGAGAACTGCTGAAAGGCTGGAACACTCAGAGATTCCCCAAGCCTTGAGGGATGAGATGATCAGCTGCCCTTTTGAGGACCTGTTTGATTAGATAGGAGACATTCTATTTTGTTTATTATTGTGCATAGTGTGTGAGGGGGTCGTGTGCACACGAGGTGGCCAGAGGACAACACTGTGACCTTGGTTATCTCCTTCCACCTTCACCTGGGCTCTGGGGTTACACTCAGTAGCAGCCCCCTCCACGTCTCCGCTGCCTTTGCTTTCTTTTAAAAGAGGGAAGTTGTCTGGATGCCTAACATTGCAGGGGCTTCTGTAGAATGACTTGGTGGAGAGGAATGAACTATGTAATCTTGCCTAATATATTCCAATAGTACATTATTAATTATACATGAAACTTCTTTGTAATGAAAGTAGTTTTGTGCTGTTGTTTTGACAAAATCTCCCTATGTGTCCTTGGCTGGCCTTAAATTCAGAGGTGGCTAATGAAGAGTTTAATTTTCATGTTTTAATATTCCTTTATTTGCCAAGTACATAATGACCATTTTCAATACTTTTTTTCCGAGACAGGGTTTCTGTGTAGTTTTGGCTGTCCTGGACTCTGTAGATTGGCCTGCCTCTGCCTCCCCAAGTGCTGGGATTACAGGCATGTCCCACCACGCCTGTTTTGTTTTTTTTTTCAATGCCAAGCCTCTTAACCAGGGTGCAGGGATAAGAACTCAGGCCCTCGTGCTTGCTGACGAAGTATTCCGATCCAGAGAGCCATGTCTCCAGCCCCTTGGCACACAATCTTAAAGGTTCCAGTCTGTGCCGGCCAGTTTTATGGCAACTTGACATAAACTGGAGTCATTTGGGAAGAGGGAACCTTAACTGAGAAAATACCCTTGCCAGAAATGCCTGTGGCGCGTTTTCTTGATAACGGATGTGGAAGGGCTCAGCCATTGTGAGTGGTAGCATCCCTAGGCTAGTGGTCCTGAGTGCTGTCAGAAGGCCACTGTGGTAGAGGATGTGCTCAGTCCTGATACTTCATGTGCTGGGATGGGGAGGGGATGGGGCTCCCCTTTTCTGAGGAGGAAGGGAGTGGGGATACAAGAAGGGAGAGTAGGACCAGGAAGAGGTAGGGGGCTTCGATTGGGATGTACAGTGAACAAATGAAGAATGAAAAAGGAAGGCAGGCAGGAAGGAAAGAAAAAAGTAGGCTGAGCAAGCCAGTAAGTAGCACTACCCCATGGCTTACATTAGCTTCTGCCGTTAGGTTCCTGCCTTAAGTTCCTGCTCCAACTTCCTCAGCAATGGAGTGTGACCTCAGAGTTGTAAAATGAAATAAATCCTTTCCTTTCCAGCTTATAGCCATGGTGCTTTATTACAGCAATAGAAAACTTAAGACACAGTATGGAGCCAATCAGCTCACTGTTTAGTCCTGTGGGGAAACAGCACACACTTTTGGCAGAAGACTTCAGGAGTCAGAAATCAAGAGACAGGAAGGACCAGTATGTCCAAAACAATTCTTGAAATTCAATTACTAGTGGGGGAAGGGGCACTGTGAAGAAATATGGCTTATCTTCCTTCCTCTGCTTCGTAAATTTAGGATTACAGACATTATCACACTGGGCTTAAAATAAATGATGAAAAGTTATTAACACTAAATCTCAGTGTATAATCACAAAAACAGAAAGCTTGATGTCACAGCATTTGCTTCCACCACACAAACACCCGCTTCACCCTCTCTGCATTGTGACTGAGACAACAGCCACAGCCCTTGAGTGTGAAGTATGTGTGAACTGGACTAAATGGCTGGGTCTGGACTGGAGAGCACTTTTAACAATAAAATAAATGATGAGCACACTGCTTGCTTGACCTATTGGCTAATGCCTTTCACAAGGCATAGTCACTGACAGCAAAAGTTGAGGGAAATGCTGACAACAAATACACCAAAGTACTTAACCTTTAAGATGAAAGGATGTATATTCTGGTAGATTTTATGTATATGTACGTATTATGGAATTTCACACTATCAGTTTAAACATTAAATGTCAGCAAAAATGTGGAAAGAGTTTAAATGGTCATTTCACACAGAATGGTTCATTACATCAAAGAATAACCTAACATTTTCCTATCACACTAGCAAACAATTATTGTAAAAAAATAGTCTTTCAGACAAGGGTACAATGTAATTTGACAATATAAGCTTTGACATTTTTCAGGGTAATGAGGCTAGTCCTACTATATTTTGAAAGAGAAACTACACAAAAATAAAGAGTTGGGACTGAGACAAAAGATGTAAAAACAATTGGAATCATTATTATGTGATTATATGTACATATATACATGTATATAAAGTATAAAAGAGGTTCAAGTATAGAAAGACAACATTCAAAACAGAGACAAGAGATTAATAAGTAATGTTGGACCATTTGCTATATATATAAAAAAAAAAGCTATGTAGCTGACCTTATTCCTTAGAACAAAATAATTTATATGTACATAGACTTAAAAAATTTATGTATTTTTAAGAATACACAAAAAGAATCCTGGAATTTAAAAGCTTTCCTAAATACAACATGAAATATAAATCCTAGAGCCTATAAAGGAAAAGTTTTACTTCTTCACAAATAAGATAGCAACATCAAAAAAAAGCACACACCTAGAGAAAAACATTTACTGTAATGCTTCTGACATGTGACATGTAGAAATCTGCAGTACAAATTAACACAGAAAGGTAGAAAAAGAAACAAAAGCAATGAGCAGACAGAGCAGGGAACAAACAACAAGTGGTTAAAAATTTCACTCAAAACTAACAGCTAGACACCTAAGTTAAAAGGTTCGGTCTCTGAGATGCCATAGAGAGCCGTCAGTAACATGCCAGGCAAGAACCTGGACCACATCTCAAGTCCCATTACTCATATATTCTAAAGGTTTGTTTTCTATCTTTCATTTCATGGGTGTTTTGTCCGCACCATGGGCATGTCTGGTACTCATGGAGGACAGGACAGCACGAGAGAGCATCGGATCCTCTGGGACTGGAGTTACTGATGGTTGTAAGCAACCATGTGAGTGCTGGAATTAGAACCATTAGAGCAGCTAGTGGGGTTTTGGACCTTCTTGGTATATGTTTTGAGACAAGGTTTCTCTGTGTAGCTCTGGCTATTCTGGAACTTGCTCTGTAGACGAGGCTAGCCTGTCTCTGCCTCCAGAATGCTGGGACTAAAGGCATGTACCACCACTGCCCAGCTCTAAAATCTTTAAATTACATTAACTATGTGTTGGGTATGCTTGTGTACAAGTGCACCACAGAGCACTGTTGACAAAGGCTAACTTACAGGACTCAGTTCTCACTTTCTACCACATGGGTCCTAGGGATCAAACAGATCAAGATTGGTGAGAGGCAACTTTACCTGTGCCCAATCTTGCTGAGCTTAAAATTAACTGACAAGAAGCATACACAGACTGGCATTACACATGACACCTACAGCTTTACAGTTTCCATTTGACTTTTTCACTGGCTATTTTTGAGCCCTGATAGCTGAAGTAAACCACATTTTTTTTTTTAAAGGAATCCTTTTTCAAAACTTATTTTATACAGCCACCTTGACAACATTTGGCTATAGTGGCTTTATGCTTTTGGCTACCTCTTCCATTCTGAAACATGAAAGGCAGCTAATTCTGATTCTATTTCTGTTTTACTTAAAAGCTGTATCTGGGCACACCAATCAACCAGACTTTCTTGCACTTTTGATCTTGAGAATTCCATCTCTCGGAAAGGGAGGATTATGCTGGGAGTACAACTGTTTACCACCCCCTTACTATAAAGCACACTGAAATGAAATTGTGACAAATGGTATAAGGGAAATATGGGTGTGTTCAGTGGTAGAATGGCTTGCCTAGCACACATGAAGCCTTAGGTTTGAACCCTGATACAATGAAGTGTAAGAGAAAGTTTGGCCATTGTAGACCATTTGCAAGTATACCTACAACACATAACTTGATTGCACAAGCAAATCT